AAAACACAAATAAAGGAAGTAAGCCCCGTAACATCAGCCTAAAAAACAAAAAAAAAAAAAAAAAAAATTATACAATATTTTATAACAAACAAATAGTTACTAAATAGTGCAAAACCAACACCAACAATATACTTAATCATTCAAACAACCTAAAGGCAATCTATAGAATAGCAAATCCCACAATACTACCAAAGAAGATAATGTGAAATCGATATCAAAAACATAGTAGAACATCTGCAAAGAAAAGTAAATATTAATTATGTATCAATAAAGAAAAAACACAAGATACTTGAAACAAATCAAGCACCACCAAAAAAGATAGCATGAAATTAACACTAACGATATAGTAGAACACTTACAAAGAAAAGTAGATATTAATTATACATTAATAAAGAAAAAATACGAGATACTTGAAACAAATTCAACTCATAGAACAACAAAACCTACCACTAAAGAAAATGATGTGAAATAGATACCAATAATATAATAAAACACCTATAAAGAAAAGTGTATATTAATTATCAATAAAGAAAACATGAAATACTTGAAACAAATCAAGCAACAAAATCTAACTCAAAAAATAACAAAACCTACCACCAAAGAAGACAGCACAAAATTGATACCAATAATATAGTAGAACATTTACAAAGAAAAGTAGATGTTAATTATACATCAATAAAGAAAAAAACACATGATACTTGAAACAAATCAAGCAACAAAATTCAACCTATAGAACAACAAAACCTACTACAAAGAAAAAATATGAGATACTTGTAACAAATTAAATAACAAAATCCAACCCATAAAATGATGAAACCTACCACCAAAGAAGATAGCTCAAAATTAATACCAAAGATATAGTAGAACACCTACAAAAAAAAGTGAGTATTAATTATATACCAATAAAGAAAAAAACACAAGATACTTGAAACAAATCAAGCAACAAAATCTAACCTGTAAATATCACATATTAGCAGATTTGATTTTTTGGGCCTTTTTTTATATAATTATAATTAATTTTGGGGCTTTTTTTTATATAGTTATATAAGAAAATATACCCAAATTTTTATCAGCTAAAAATTTTTTCATTTAAAACAAAACAATTTAATATAAAACTTGCAACCAACTTATCAAAAACCTGTTCAACCCATCAAACTTTTGTCAAGACATATAGAACTATACAATTTCAATTGTAAATAACTATTTTATTTATTTGAAAATGTTAAATTATTTTTTTTTATAAATTATAAGCTAAAAATATAATTCTATTAAGCTTTAGTAACTATTTGATGACTACGGTTCATGATTCTTTAAGATTTTACTATACTATATGTATACGATCTAAAGGATATAAGGACTATTCTAGATTACAATGACATGAGATATTAAAATATGCATTATATAATTTATTACCAAATCATATTCAACAAATACTAGACTCAGAACTTAATTATTTAAGAAATGTTATAATTAAAGAATTGTAAAAAAAACTTAAAAATCATTACTGTGCTGTTGAAGAACAAGTGTTTTTAATATATTGTAGTGAAAATTGTCTTTGTAGATTTATTTGGATCTTATATTACACGTTATTCACCATGTGGTTTCTTTTATCTTTGTAATTTTAGAGAAGAAAATGCTGTTGAAACAGTTGGTTTAATATTTAACAATGGATTTTACTAAAATGTACCTATGGTGTTTTACACCTATATATATATTATCTTAAAAACTGGCTAATTAATTGATGTGAAATGTTCTAAATAAAAATGTTCTATACCCCTAAAAACCCTTCCCAAACCCTAATCCTAACCTTTAGCATGAAAAAATTGGTATTAAAAAATTTTATATACAAACTTATAAAAACTTAGAAAATTTTAAAAAATATAATAAAAACATATAATAGGTGCAAAACTACCATAGGTGTATTTTATAATAATTGTTTAACAATAATTAATAGTACAAATATGATTATAGCAGTAGTCAATATAGTTTTGTTCGACTTTATTCTCCAGATATATTAGAAACAAACAACAAATTACAATAGCAAAAAAAAAACAAAAAATTATCTCCTAGTAGAAAAATGATTGTAGAATAGAGAGTAATTGGATTTAAAGATAAAATGAATCAGGAATATAAAGCAGAAACACTTAAAATTCATTTTTTTTTAGATCAATATTAATTTTAAAATAATTTCATAGTGTCGCTGCTAGCGATCATTGCTGCTAGTGTTATATAATATATTGGTTGTACTACATATTGATATACATATTGATATTGTTAATAAAGTGCGTATTTAATAAGTTTTAAACTTTATTTTTATTTTTTTATTTGTGCAATCCCAATACAGCATACAAGAAATAAGTCAGATATGAATAGAGACGATTTTTTTCAATCACACTCTTATTTTTTACAAGATGTGAAGAATATCCAAGGATTATTATCCGATTTTATGTTGGCTTTAGAAATAAATGATACATCTTTATAGTATAACGATGATTGTTTGGAAAATTACATTGATTTAAACAAGCTTTATAATGATATTAATGGTAAGATTAAACCATATAGTTTTTTTTACAACAGCAGCAGCAGCAATTTTTTTTTTTTAATCTGAATTTTTTTTAGATTTACTAGATTGTGATAAACTAGAATACTATAAGAAAGACAATATTCAACCACCAGCTTTATTAGAGATAGGAATGATGTTTGATAGCTTTGATTATGCAGAGCAGTTTCTTAACCAGTATGCAAAAGACAATAGGTTTGTTGTTATAAAGGAGCGATGTGAAAAGGATAAGAATGACAAATCAATTATTGTAAGAAGAACGTTTGAATATCACCATGGTAGAAGTAAAAAATCAAAAAAAGTTGTTGATATTATGCAACAAAGAGATCATATATCAGAAAAAATAAATTGTCTGTGGATGTGTAATATTAACAAAATAAAAAGCAGTGAATCCGTAAAAGTTACTAGTTTTGATGTTCGATATACCCATACTTGCAATAATAATATGGCACAGTATGCTCCAAAATATAGACATCTACCCTCAGAGGTTCTTGATGATATAAGTTTTTTACTGTAGATGGTCATATGTGTGCAAAAATACAATACTGTTTATTAGCAGCAAAATACCCAGATATCTATATTCACAAAAGAGATTTATATAATGCTATTTATTATTTTAAAGCTACTTCAGCTCATTAGCGACAAGAAGATGGACAATCAATTCTTAATAAGCTATTGGAATTACAGTGTGAAAAACCAGAATAGATTATTAAAACATGTCTTGAAGGTTCGGATAATCGATTAGTTGGGTTATTCTAGATGAATCTGATGCAAATTTAACTTCTTATTAAATATAAGGATGTGGTTATTTGTGATAATACTTGTAAAACGAACTGGTATGATATGTATCTTAGCCTTCTTGTCGTAGTAGATAATAATACTAGAACCTGCTTAGTATGTCAAGGGCTGTTAGAGAATGAAACTAGTGATATTATCAATGGTTTTTTTAGTGTTTAAGAGACGCTATTGGTGATATGATACCCCAAGTATTATTTTCAGATTCTGAACCAGCTCTAATCAATACTGTTTCTATTATATTTCCTGAGACGAAACATTTTTTGTGTATATACCATATTCAGCAAAATATACATAAAAAATTAAAATGACTTTTAGAAACTAGTTATGAAGTGTTTATTAAGATGTTCTATAAAACAAGAAATAGTTTAAATGAATCGGATTTTGAATAACGTTGGAAAAAAATGATTGAAAAATTTCCTCAAGCAAGTAATTATCTACAAGAAACTTTATATCCAATTCGACATACTTGGACTTTATAATATCAAAGTCTTTGGTTTACTGCTAGTATACAGTCAAGTCAGAGAATCGAGGCTCTTAATGCATTACTTAAAACAGGTGTAGATCATATATCGTCTTTATGTCATTTGTATAAAGAGTGCCAACGGCTATTTGATAATTAGTCAGAATACTCACAGCTTAAAGAATATCAGAATAGTGTGCCTACTAGAGGATTACCAATTGTGTCACAAGTTATATTTCCTCAAATCGATTCTATATTAATTAAGTTTGTAATATCTCATATATTGTCGATACAAAGACAACAAATGAATAAATCATTACTTTATTGTGCAGTACGTTTAGAAGTATCTGAGTTTAATAATAACAAGGTAACTTATAAGTTATATTGTTTTGTTAGTTAGTAGCATTATTTCTAATACTTATTAAATATAGTTAGAAAGTAATATTTCTGATAGTAATTTTACTGAAGATCTTAATAATTATCCTCGAATACCGTTGTCTAGCTTATTAGAGAATATCAATCATAACGATATTAAAGAAATATAGCAAATTAAAGGAACTATTACTCCTATAATTCATTATATTATTCTTCTAGTAGACGGTACTTATAAATGTACTTGCATATTCCTTATAAGTCAGGGTATCATATACAAACATTTTTTTCAAATAATGCTTTTTTCATCCTATGCAAAGTTTCATATTGCACTTATACCTTTATGATAGTATCAAGAATCTAAGCAACAAATTAGCTATGTTGATTTATTATCAAGTTATTCATATATTTCTTTAGCAATTACAACAGATATAACAACTTCACCAGAAGAAATGCATAATTCATTCAATTTGGAATATCTAAAGCAGATGAGAAGTAATAATATGATGAGTTCAGAAATGTCACATAATGTTAGTAAAAAAATGAGATATTTAACTAGATTTGGAGTTCTTAAAAAAGCTCTAAATTTGTCTATTTCTTTGAACTGTGATGATGAATTGTTGAATATTTTATATTACTTTATTGAAGATAAGCAAAAATTAAGCACTAATTATTCTACAATTAATAATGATAACAACAAAGATCACACAAATACAAATCAGAATTCGGATAATTCTTATGTTTCTATTCAAGTAACTGATCTTCTTGTAGTTTGAAAAAGAGGAAGACCTTCTAATCGATTAAAATCATCAACAGAGTGCGATAATACAGTAACTAAATACAAGAGACAGATATTAGCACCTTTAGATAAGAACATACAATCGAATAAGTCTATATTCAAAGAATCTAATGATATTTATAATGAGGTTAATCAAGATAATAAATTTTCAGCTGATAATCAGGTGTGCGAAGAGGTGCAGTAAATAAATATAAATGTAGAGTTTGTGGTAGTTTTGGACATAATGCTCGAAACAAAAAAAAGTGTTCTCAACAAAATTCTTCATAGAACTTATGAGCTTATACACCAATTTGATTGAGATAAAAAAAGGTTTATTAGAGTTAGATAATTAGTACAAAATTTATTGTATCTTAGAAAAGTTTGAACTATATACATATGCTGCTTTTTAGCTCAATATATATTTGATATACGTATACATATATATGTAAAGTAGTAATACGTACTGTATGTATATATATATATATGCAATAAAATCTTAATTGTATATATAATGAACTAATTAGTCAAATAATCAGGTTGATCAACTATTTTTTAGACAAACGCATTGCTACAGAGATTTAATGATAACTTTCTAACAATAATATACATACTATAGTCATGTTACAACAATTTGTAATTCTGTGGCCTTTAAGAAGACCAGTTTTTATATTATTATAGTATAAGGTTGTTAAGATGACTCAAAATACAGGGCATATAATAGGATGCTATAGCCATTATATAGTTTCTTAAAAAATTTTAAATTGTCTAGCTCCTGCATACAGCTTTATTGTTGTGATAAATTATGTAACAAAATAATATACTACTATATATATAGCAATAGTTATTAAAATATGGCTGTTGCAGCGATTCTGATAATGTGACCCGTGCTTTTGGAAGCAGCTCTCATTATAGTATAAGAAAACGAACAACTACAATCTTTCAACTAAAGACACTAATTTTTTGCAGTATAGCTATAGTACTCTTAGCAGTATTTATTCAAAGTTTTAAAAATAATTACTTTAAACTATGCTTATGCGATCATATATTTTAAATAATTAAATATCAAAAGCTTGTAATTTGATTGGTCGGTCAATCTACTGTAATAGTCACATGATCCGGTAATAATCGCTGCCGACAGCGATTAGAAAAGTTCTAATTTTAAATATATAAATTAAATAAAATTTTATTTGTACAATTTAAATTTACAATTATATTAGTTTTAAACCATATAATTAAAGTGTTTATAATATGATTAAATAAATTAATACTAGTAATCATCAACAATTCATTATAGTTGGTTTGTATATTCATAACAATAATCAAGTCAGAATTCTCTATCCAAATCATTCTTATTTTTATCTAATTCTATATTCATAATAGCCAAGCCAGAATCTACTATACAAATCATTCATACCTATAAATTTTAATAATAAATAAATGCCTTATTTTCATCTTTCCTAATGCCAATTCCAATTTCATACTCACAATAGCCAAGCCAAAACTCTTTGTCCAAATCATTCGTATCTGTAAATTTTGATAATAAATAAATACTTAATTTTCATACTTTCTGATCATTATTGTTCTAAGGCCTCTGGTTATTGTTATTCTGTTGCTCTTGGTCATTATTATCCCATCATTTCTTGCTATTATTATCCTATTGCTTTTGGCCACCATTATTCCGAAATTTCTAATTATTATCTTATGAAGAATATCTGCTCCTTTTTGTGTATTTCTGTCAAAACTGCTATTCGACTGATTATTGTCTTATTTATCATCATCATCAAACCAACTTCACTAGATTAAGTTAGAATTTAATATTATGACTTATAAAATAGATATACAAATAAATAAATAAATAAATATTAATTATTTACAGCTCTATATTGCTTGCATGTTTTTTTAAGAAATTGAGAACTTCTTGCTTACATTCTATTGTAAAAAGTAGTAGCCAACTCTTGATCCCCAACATGTGCAGTTCTGTTAAATAATAACGTTTAAGTTCTATATAGTTAAAAGAACAGAATAAAAAGATTAAGAGTATTATTTACCTTACAATACGATAAACATATTCATCAATATTATCACAGAAGTTATTAATAACATATATTATATTTTTGATATCAAGCCCATAGCTGTAGCAATTAAAATAGAACATCGACCATTCCTATATATAAAATTTTATTATAAACTGGTAACATAGCATACTCTGATATGATTGTAATATATCTACTTGAAAGATATTAACGTATATTTATGTTCTTGTTGTGTACGATCACTATGAATACTTATGGTTAGAAAATTCTGTAAATACAAGAAATCATCAAGTGAATCTGCTCCATATTTAGATTTTACAAAAACCAAAATACATAAAGAAGGTTGTTTCAACAAAAGAGCAACAAGTAAATCCTATTTTTTATTAAAATTTGTTAATTAATACCAAATTCGCAAATATAAGGCTATGAATCCTATTTTATATTTACAATAATCAAGCCAGAATATTTCGCATATCACTTATATTTTACATATTTTTTATGATAAATAAATGCTATTTCATCCTAAATGACTCTATATTCGTTAGAATACTAATTAATTTAAAAATAAAGGTTTTGAATATTATAAGCAGTGCCAAATGATATTATCAAACACCAACCTTTAGGATCTATTTTATAGCTCAATTCAAATTAGTCAAAACAGTATTTGTGACAATTCAAGTGACAGAGTTTGATTATTTAATATCATCTTTCAATATCCTTCAATTGATCTCTGACACCCAATAACAAAAAGATTATGAAACATAGAGTAAAATTTGAAGAAATAAATCTTAGATATATAGTTTATCTTTATAAGTCTAAAAAAATCAACAAATATTAATGTAAGTGCGAAAAAGAATATATTTTTGAGTTTCCCAAAACTTATAATTCTGTACTTAAGTTTAATAGTTTTGCGGCTTATAAAAATATCAGTATTTAAGTTTTTTTTTATAACTACAGTAATCATAAAACTACAAAAATCGTAAAACTACAGTATGAGATAGCAAAAAACATCTAATTTTTTTATACAATGTGCCAAATTTACAATTATTTAATCAATTTTGATTGGCTAATTTTATATAAGAAATTTTAATTAGTTAAAAAAAAATATAAGGTGAGTATGGGTATTATGACACAGTCAAGTATTATAGCGAATAACTTGTGATCTATCAATTATAATCAAATAATTTTGGCACCATTCGATTCGACTCATCGAGACGAATCGAATGATACCAAAATCATCTGATTCTGATTGCTAGATCACGAGATATCTTTAATTTAAAAAAAGCTACAAAAAAGATAAATTAAGGTGAGCATGGGTA